ACAAGAAGGAACAATCATATGAACCCCAGACATCGTCTGACAAGCCACAGGCTTTTTTGGACTCTCAGAAATAAGATCAGAGACTGCCCTCTGATGTTAGACCTGGGAATTGAAGGAATGAAGAGGTGTAAATTGTCTCTATTGCTCCTCTCTGTGTGCAATGGATGCAAATGAGCACCAAATTCTGTGGCTCACACTCATTTTCACAGAATTGTACCCCAGAAGAGCAATCCAATGTGGCTGACCATAACCCTTCAAACACCAAGGATTACAGATATCCAATGGAGGACAGAAAGAGCAGAAAGAAAAAGTCACCTCCATAAATCACTTGTCCTGCAAAACGGGCCATCTAAGTCTTTTGAACCTGCTCATGAGGACAGGCTGAAAAACTGCCACGATGCTTCACATTGTGGCAAAACCTCACTCTTCCTTCCCCATGAAACACCCAATGAACACCAGCTTCAAGGTCAGTCTTGCGGTAGCAGAGCAAAGGTGGTGAGAATCTGAAGTCCCAGCTCCATCCTTGGAGCACATTTCCAAGGTTCAAGCTGAGACTCCAAATTTTCCTATGGCCACACAAATAGCTTCCACTGGTTATAAGATTGCACCTTAATGTATTATGTATAACTTAGATGACTAACAAATTGTCACTTTTGTATATTAGATTTAAATGTACAGGCTACATCTTTGATAGTTTAATCAGATAGTTACTTGTAAATCATGCTGATAATTTTATGACAAAACCAGGTTATATATAACACATTTAATGTATTTTATCTTCATGAAGTAACTTTAGACCTGTAATGACACTAAAAATGTGTTCTGCACATTTTTCCAACCAATTTTTTTCCAGGGTTGGGGTCAGATATATGGAGGTGTGAAAATACCCTCCAGTTTTCCATGGTGTCAAAATTTTCAGAAATTCTCTCTCTGTTTGGAGAGGTTACCTATTGTAATGCAATCTAAAAGCTAAATACAATGTCTAATATGCATATCATTAACGTATCACATGAATATGATCCAATAGAAAGGAATAGTACACATGGGACATAGCATTTTAAGCCAAAACAACCCTGTAAGGTCTGACTAATATTGGCCCAAGATCATTCAGTAACCTCCATGAGTGCATAAAACTTGGACTTGGATGTCCAAGCCAACTCAAGCTCCCAGAGGCTTCTTGAAATGATCTGGCTAAAACACAGTGAACAGTGACCCCCCCCCCCCAAAAACTGCATTCAGGCCTACATGATTATAATTTTGATTTCTACCATTTACAACCATTAGTTCGAGCTGTTTTTGTCCCAAAACATGCTGTGTAACATTTCCCTTTCCCTCCACAGTTATACCAACTAAATATTGTTTTGCTATATAAACCAGTATAAAGTTTAATTATAATTTATAATTTAAAACTTTTGTATATTGTCCCTTAGGCATAGCATCTCAGGACGGCTTACAATCATTAAAACAACACAATAAAATGGCAATAAATAACAATTAACCAAAAAATACAATTAAATAAGTTAAATAAAAGTGACTGTTAAGCATTAAAATTTTAAATTAGTTTTTAAAATAACAGTTAAATAAAAAGGTTTTAACCTGGCGCTGAAAAGAATATAAACTCGGCACCAGGCGCACCTCTCCGGGGAGTGCATTCCATAATCTGGAATGGATTAATGCATTAATTCTAATGCATAAAGGTAAAGGTTTCCCCTTGATGTTAAGTCCAGTCATGTCTGACTCTAGGGGGTGGTGCTCATCTCCGCTTCCTAGCTAAGGGAGACAACATTTGTCTGCAGACAGTCTCCGTGGTCATGTGGCCGGCTTGACTAAACAGCAAAGTGCACGCTGTTACCTTCCCACCGAAGTGGTACCTTTTTATCTACTTGCATTTGCATGCTTTTGAACTGCAATTCTAATGCACAGAGTAATTTATTTGCCAGGTTCTACAAAATATATAGCTACTGCTATTCAATACATGCAATTCTGATCCTCAACCCAACTGCCCTACAGCCCCACTAGTAGACTGTTCCCAAATAGGAGCTTTAACTGTAGCAGCACAAATAATGGGTCACTTCACTAAAGTTAAAGCAGGGAGAATCTTAAGTTTGCCGCAATCTTTGTGGCTACAAACCTTCCTTCTGTAAAGTATCTACTAGTGATAAAGAAGGAAAAGAAGCTGCATCAACAATAAACATAATAGGAGGAAAGAAGTACTTCCAGATGGAGATTCTAATGCTGCCAATTAGAAGATATTATATAGTTATTTCATCTGAAAAGAGAAATTCACCTCAAATACTGAACAATGGATGGAGAGTCTTACACAGACAAATATGTCCAGATGAAGATACATATAGTTGATCTGCATATGTAGACCTACAACTATAATAAGAACAGAATGTTGTGTTCAGTTGTGTTTCATCTTTGTGTGACTTTGTGTATAGTTTGTTATGATTTAACATGGATATTTGTAAAGTTTACAAGTCAAATCAAAATTGTTAAATTAAAAAATGAATGTTAACATAAACTTTGCAGCCTTTTTGCTCCTAAGAAATTAATACATGCTTAGATTAAACATTTTCAGAAGCCTACTACAATAATAGTAAGGTGCCCAACCATTTTTTTTTAATTTAGTGCCTTTCTCTTTAACCTTCTATCAGCCTCAACTATATATCTGGGGTAAGAAAATGGTGCCATCCAGATGTTTTCCTATCAGTCTCAGCTAACATGGCTGGGGATTGTACAACTTGTTAGTGAAACCATTTGGTAGACACAGGATTGCCTACCACTATTAGATAGATATAGATAGATATGCCATCTTAAAAGTATTATTTCAGTTAAATATTCATTTGAAATAATTGTGCATGTATGATTAAGATGATAGTCTTCTGCCACCTGCAGGTTATAATTAACGTAAATACTTAGGAACATCTCATAGCCAACACTACAGCAACGCTGGAACAAATATGGGATAAATTTCAGTAACCACTAAGAAAAAGGTCTGCCATGCTTCCAGTTCCTAAAGGAGTGATTAATGTTTACAGTGAACATAGCAGTTTGATTTTATGGAGACTGTCAGCTCAGTTCTATGATTCATATATCATCAAAACAGCAGGCAGAATGGTAAGCAAGAACAATGCAATGTTTATTCATTAGATATACTACTCCTCACCCAGCTTATATATGGTTCTCCCACACAGACACAATTCATGGCATACCACAATTAGTATCAGTTGAGCTTTAGCTCGTGCCTTTAAGCATTCTCTAAGCCAATGACAAGGGACTTGCAGTCTTAAGTCATTATCTGGACCAATGACATGGGACTGTAGTGTAGCACTGTCAGCCAACTCAGGTTATAGGTCCAGATGGGAGTATTTATGATCAGAAGATACAGCATACTTTTTATGCAGTTAAGAAGCAGGCATAGAGAAAGGGCAAGTCAGACAACACAACTCTTGAAAGTGTGAAGGTTCCTAAGAATGTCACTTACTATGTACTATGACCACAAATTTGAATTAAGCTATCTAACATTAATATAAAACAAATTTACTGTACTACAAAACCGAATGAATGCACTAAGGGCCTGGTATACAAGTGAGCTCAGAGATTATGTGACACACTGGCTCAGAGTATAAATTGTTGTCCTCAGTTCAGATTTCACCCGAGTCATGAAATCAGTAATACCATCCAGATATATATCTATCCTTGCCTTCCATCTGATAGAGTCCATTGGACTGAATCCACAATTTAGAAATAATTCTGCCCTCCAGTCTCTATAAAATTCATGTATGCTCTGAACACTTGAAATATAGGTGTACTGTATTACTATGGTTATAAATAAGAGATAAATACCAATTTCTAAACCATTGGCTACATGCACAGCATTTTAACTGAAACTAGCAGGCTTTTTTTTTAAGACTGTACAACCTTTTATTTTAATGCTACAGAAAGAAAAAATTGTACAATTTTCAAATATGTGAAGTTTATTTTGATATCATATTTCTTTTCCTTTATGCTTAGATTTGACCTTTATCACCAAACATGTTTTTCATAAAAACAGATACATATCTTTATTTTTATTTTTTACAAAAGGAAGCTAATACATTCTTCAAGTATATTTATACTAGGACCCCAATCTAAAAACAAATATCTTCTCCTAAAATTACAATCATAACTTCTAAAAGGTACTTTGTTAGTTTTTCAAGTTAGTTCTCAGTGACCCAAGTCAAAGGAAGCCACAAGGGTCAAAACAGCCATTATTTTAAATCACTATCAAACAGCTATATCTTTTCCATTTTTATTTTAATTCTATAAAGACCAGATCTGAATTTTTAATGTCCTACCATACACACACTCCAGAAAGAAGGTCCTGATCTTCAATAACCCCTGCACCTACTCTGGAAAAATAAGTAAATGATGTAGCTGTTAGATACAAATTTAGGCTTCAATACTGCTTATCTTTAGGCA